CACACACACACACACACACACACACACATTACAGCGCAATACTTGGGTAAGTACCCATCAACTCCTGGGGGTATTCGAAACCAACAAACCCAGTACTTTAGCTTAAACATGCTCCAGGAACACAAGGACAAACAACAGCCCTTCTATTCCCAGGATGACAGAAAGCTTGAAGAAAACCTTTCATACAGGTATGGTCCAGATGATCTTAGGTTTACAGTAGAAATCTAACTGGAAACAAAGTGTCTTAAAAATCAGTGTATAAACAAGCCCCGTTCTTGAAAGAGAGGAAATGGGTGTTTGCTAATACTTTAGATCAGTGGTTCTCAACCTGTGGGTCACAAACCCTTTGGGGGTCAAATGACCCTTTCACAGGGGTTGCCCGATTCATAACTGTAGCAAAATTACAGTTATGAAGTAGCAACAAAAATAATTTTATGGTTGGGGGCTCACCACAACATGAACATTAAAGGGTCGTGGCATTAGATGAAGGATTATAGGAGACCTGAGAGAGTAGGAAGCAGAGAACTCTGCCTTTATGGCAAACACGGGATTTACCTCGTGACAGGCAGTTAAGAGTGCAATTACAAGGAAAACAACTACTCTCCAGGTCAATGAGGACTCCTTCTTTAGAGGTATGACACCTAGAGGCTTGTATGTGGCTAAGTGTATAACCAAATGTCCACCAACACTCAAAGCAGCAAAGAGACACATTCTACAACATTTAGCTCTAGATTCACAGAAATATATTCTCTATATTCTATTCCATTCTGGTCTATGCACATTATTCAAATCTGTACTGGGGTCTGACATTATGAGTTGAGAATTGGCAATAAGGCAGGGCATTGTAAATCCTTTCATTTATGTCATCCTAAGCATGTCACTAGTTTGTTCTGTTGGTGACTAAGAATCTGCTCACAGAATGAAAAATGCACTCTCTATTCTTGTCTACTTATCCTATTATTAAAACTTGCATTTTAGTCTGAGACTAAGAGAATCTGCTAGCAGTCTAATCACAAAGCCTATTTCCTGGATACTAAACTACAGACCTGCATTTTAAAGTTTTCTAGAAGCCACAGTTGTTTTTTGTTTTAATTGCTCTGTGTTTGGGTCACCTATTTTTAAAAACATCTCTGAGATACAATTTGCACACCATATAATTCATCCATTTAAAATGTATAATTCAATTGTTTTAGTGTATTACAGATATATAAAACTGTAGCATTTAATTTCAGAACATTTTCATGACTTTAAGAAGAAACCTAGTATCCTTTAGCTACCACCACTTAATCTCCCCCTTCCACTAGTTGTAAGCAGTCTGCCCGTCTACATTTATTTGTGAACTGCTTTAAATATACTATTGATTTTCTTTGTACACAAAATCCAAAATCCAGTTTTAACTGATGGAAAGATAACAAATTTCACTGAAATCCTAACATCATGATGAAATCTATACTTTGCCCAGAGTCTTCAGAATTTCCAATGGCTACCCTGAAGATATCCTGTATTGGTATCCAAATCAAGTTTTGTCAGGTTTGTCTCCCTTAATATGTTAGATAATGCTCACAGGTCTGTCAGTATTTTAATTTTCTCATCTAGCAGAAGAAAGCAAAAACAAAACACAAAAAAATCAACTAGTGCTATTATTGATTTTTAAAAGATGAAATGGATAAAAAAAAGGTAGTGGCTGACCAAGATTCTCTCTAATAAAAAGCACTTGACAACCAAACAATTAGTTTTAGATTTAATGTGGCAAGACTTAAATGGTTTTAACTAAGACCTGCAAACTCCGTTTTCATTTTCTAAAACTTGCCAATGTAGAGTGGGGAAAAAAGAACCACAAAAATGGGGGATTTAATGGGATACTATCACTCATTTGACGAGATGGGCTGTGAAACTACATAGAATGTTTTTCTTTGTATTATATTCCTCAAACCAAAGGGAAAAATAAATAAAGATACATAAATAAATCAAACAAAAAATAAAATTAAAATTACAGGGAAAAAAGGGAAAGAGAGAGATCCTTACCCTCACCCCTCAAGTCTAAAAGCTAGTCTGAGTGGCCATAAAAGGAAGAAAAGTAATAATGAAACCAACATGGATTCTTTTGTGGCATGTAAGTTAGCTTCAAACCCAAAAAATGTAAATTTTCCTATCTAAGCTCGGGTTTAATAAAGTGGAGTGAGGTTTATGGACAGGTATAGGGTCACTGAGAGACAAGGACCTCTGAGGTCATTAGGGGAACACTTATTCCAGTGGCTTCATGTTGAGTTGCTCAGGAACTTCCTGGTCAGTAACGTGTAGACCTATTCCTGGAAAACACTCACACTGTACTTTTAATTTCTAAAAATTTGCAGAGTAAAAGGAATAACTTGTATAAAATATTAAATAGCCTGAGCATTAAAAGATACATATCAAGACACTTACTTGTTTTCAAAAGCAACTGTTATTGAATCTTCATGAACATCCTTTACAAATGCCTGTAAGAAAAAAAACAGAGTTAAATTAATGTTTCAGTGTTCTCAGCCAAGTTTTATAGATGTTCCAGTATGTGTTTGAGAAGAAAAATGGAGCTTCACATGAGTCTGTCATTTGTTGAGGATTACGGTTTTGTTAATCACAATGATGAGGGCTGGTGGCGTTTCTGACTGAGTGTTGGGGACTAACTGCAAGGTCGATGGTTCAATGATCCACCAGATACTCTACCAGAGGAACAGGAGGCTGTCTCCTCTTCCAGTCTCAGAAACTCGTTGGAATCAACTCGGTAACAGTGGGATTGGGTTTAGGATATGCTAGTATTTAAGAATACCGATAGTTTAATGAACAACAGAGCAACAAGGTGGGTGGGGGGTAGGGACTGCTTCCAAGTTCACCATCTACGAAGAAAAAGAGTAACCTGAAACAGACAACACCTGTGCTCCGTCTGAGCAGGACAGCCACTCCAGGCTAGGATGATTGAAACCTCCGAAATGGGTGCCAGGGCCATATTGCCAGCCAGGCTGGATCTGCTGCCACCCATCTTTTGCTTCTTAATAAAACATTAGGGGAATAGTAAATGATTAAATAAAACCTCAAATCTATGTACACAGAAAAACATTAATTTTTCTTAATAACCGTATGCTGCAAATACCACTAAAAAGCCCAATCACCAGAGTGTAATTAAATTCTCAATCTCACAGTCACTTGGGGGAGCAAAGGCAATAAAAAAGCCCAGAGGTTCAGCCTTTTACATTTGAGGATAGAATTGCCAGTAATCTTCAGAAAGGCATAACAACATGCAATAGCTAGCTAATAATTCAAGAATTCTTTCATCACCATGCTGTCCTTCATTCGCTAAAAGTCAGTTTCTGGTAGGTGCAGAAAAGGTTTTAGATAATGAGACAAGAGAAGGAGGAAAGCAAAGCCCACGGATTTCTGCCAAGCTCTTTCCCACGCTGGCCAGGCACACCTCTCCAGGGCTTGTAGGTCAGGCCTGGGAGTCAGTACTCCAGCCATGCTGAAGGAACTGTTTGCCCCTGCCTTCTGCAGATATGGGGTTTCTTTGTATGTGCTGTCCCTCTTCCTACACTCCTTCCCACCTTTTTACCTAGCTAATATGCCTACTGGCGTCCAGGTTGGATGTTCAATTTCTCTGTGCTACATCCTCGAGCCACACCACCACCCCACCCCCCACCCCACCCCGTCTCTAAATTTGCCTGCTATGTGATTTTTGCCAGGGGCCTGCAGGTGGCAGTAAGGCTTATTTATAGCCATGCTTCAAGCACCTAGCAGTGCAGCTGAGACTAAGCCCTACAGCCAGCCACCTTCCACAGTGGAGCAGAAACTTGAAGGGCCTTCGTGGGGTGGTGCAGTGGGTTTCGAGTAGGGCTGCTCCACTCCAGGTCAGCAGCTGGGGCCCACCAGCAGCTGCTCTGTGGCAAAAAGATGATGCTTTCCGTTCCTGTAAAGAATTACAGTCTCAGAGACCCACGGAGGCAGTTCTACCCTGTCCTACAAGGTACTGACTCAATGGAAGTGACAGTTTTGAATAGAAACTCAGGTTCCCTGGGTGGTGAAAGCAGCTAAGCACTCCACTATTAGCCCAAATATTGGTGGTTCAAATCCACCCAGAGATGCCGAGGAAGGAAAGGGCTGGTGATCTGCTTCTGAAAGGTCATAGATTTGAAAATCTTCTAGAGTGCAGGTCTACTCTGGAGTTGATTACTCTGGAAATTGACTTAGTGGCAACTAATAAGTAATAACAAGCCAACTTAATGACTGTTCCTAAGTTTGTCTAGTGGAGAAAATGTGTGATCTTGTTGGCCAGGTGAAAGACAGACAGAAAAATAGGTCCCAACTGAAACCTAAAATGTCAAGTAAGAACTACCCAAGGAGGCAGCAATTCCAGACTGAAAGAACTACATGAATGAATGCACATGACATTAAGAAACAGCTGTAATAGAACTGATTCTGATTCATAAGGACCCTATGAATGAATATCTTTATGAGTGGAAACAATCTTATCTTTCTCCAAATGTTCACCAACAGGTGACTGGATAACCAAAATGCGGTACATACACCCATTCATACAAGGAAAATTATTCAGCCATAAAAAGGCAGCAGTATTACAAGGAACTATATGTGACCTCCTCCCTGGGGGACAGACAACCGAAAAGTGGGTGAAGGGAGACGTCGGACAGGGCAAGATATGACAAAATACCAATTTATAAACTATCAAGGGCTCATGAGGGAGGGGGGAGCGGGGAGGGGGAAAATGAGGACCTAATGTCGGGGGTTTAAGTGGAGAGAAAATGTTTTGAGAATGATGTACAAATGCGCTTTACACAATTGATGTGTGTATGGATTGGGATAACAGTTGTATGAGCCCCTAATAAAATGTTAAAAAAAAAAAGGCACAAGTGATAACATGCTACAACATAGATGAATCTTGAAGACATTATGCTAAGTGGAAGAAGCCAAACAAAAGAAGACATATATGAGGGGGGCCTCAAAGAGTTCATGGAAAAAATGCATGACCTTTTCATTCCATTTTTTCTATAAAGTCTTTGATACCTCCTCATATTGTATGGCTCAATTAATGTGAAATGGCCATAGGAGGCCAGTCAGAGAAAACATAGGATTCCTGGTTGTCAGGGGTTGTGGGGGAGAGGAGGGAGAGGGAGGAGTGACTGCTAATAAGCATGAGGTTTCATTTTGGGGGGACGATAAAATGTTCTGAAAGTAGATAATGGCACACTTTAAAGTGGTGGATTTTATGGTATGTGAAATATATCAGTTAAAAGAAACAAACAAAAGAGAGAAAAACAGTTTGCTGCTGCACAAGAGTTAAGGTTGAAGAATAGGAAGGGTCTAGATTCGAAAGGAGTTGCTATTAGTTGGAACTCACTCGATGGCAGTGAGATTTTTGATATACGTATCCTGTGAAAGAGCTCTGGTGGGCATTGTGGGTTAGGCATTGGACTGCTAACCACAAGGCTGGCAATTCAAACCCAAAAGTCACTCCTTGGAAGCAAGATGAGACTGTCTGCTCCCATGAAGACAACTGCCTTGGAAACACTGTATTGCAGTGGTTCTCAACCTTCCTAATGCCGCAACCCTTTAATACCACGACCTCCTCATGTTGTGGTGACCCCCAACCATAAAATTATTTTCCTTGCTACTTCATCACTGTAATTTTGCTACTGTTGTGAAATGTAATGTAAATATCTGATATGCATTGTTTTCATTGTTACAACTTCAATTAAAGCATAGTGATTAATCACAAAAATAATTATGTCATTATAGATTGCAAAATATTTATTTATGACATTATTTATGACAAATAAATGAAATTTTGTCTTGAAGCACGGGGTAGGATGGGTAACAGTCTTCACACCGAGTACTTATATGTGGGCATATCTGCATGTGAGTGGACCCGCCTGGAGACTGATAGAGGAGTGGTGTCTCAGTTCCTAAGACCATTGGAAATGTGTTTTCCGATGGGCTTAGGCAACCCCTGTGAAAGGGTCATTACACCCCTAAAGAGGTCACAACCCACAGGTTGAGAACCACTGCTTTTTTGGGTCGCTATGAACTGGAACTGTAGGAGTACAAATTTTCCCAAGCACAACCCTAACGAATCTACAGTTTAGATTGGTTATTCTGGCTATGAGGATGGGACTGGAAGCAGAAAAAAAAGAGACTTTTGATATATTCCAAGGAGATAGACTATCTCAGGACTGGAACTAAATAGTTCTCAATGCTGGCTAAGAGGAAAGGGATTTGAGATATGGAGGGAGGGGGTCAGAACAAAATAATAGGCATTGAGTCAATACTGACTCATTGCGACCCATAGGACAGGGTAGAACTGCTCCAGGGGGTTTCTGAAGCTGTTAATCTTTATAAGAGGTGATAGCCTTATCTTTTTACCACTGACTGAAGTGATGGGTTCGTCCTGCTGACTTTGCGCTAGCAACTCAACCAATACCTAACCCAGCAAGCCAGTAGGGCTCCTTTTGAGATATATTCTTAAATTGAAATTAGCAGGAAACAATCATCAGTTGGATAGTGAATATCTATGCTGCGTGTGTGTGTGTGTGTGTGTGTGTGTGTGTGTGTGTGTGTGTAGAGGGGGGGGTTGATGGAGGATACCAACAAGTTTGCTAGATTGGGTATAGTTGGTGTCTGATTGAAGCATAGAGCCAACTTTGGGTACACATAACCAATTCCAACACCAGCCTTACATCTGTATCTCAGTATCTGGCACCATTTTTAATCTACAACCAATCTTCAATAAGTTAAAACTGATGCAAGCATTTTGGTAAACTAAGCAAGACTAGGCTACATTTTCAAAGCCTGATATAAAAGGATTCTTTAAAACACAAAACTTCCCAAACATCAAATTCAAAGATAATCATTCAAGTAGTAATTATCTGCTCCCAAGAAAAACAATGGCAGCTGAAGCAGGGCTCCCCAAAAGTTATATGAAAGCTACTTACACAATGATCTTAGAATTCTTTAATTAAGCTTACCCATTGGCACAGAGTTGACTGAGACTCACAGTGACCCCATAGGACTGAAAAGAACTACCCCTGTGGGTTTCCAGGGCTATCTTTATGAAAGCAAGACTGCCACATCGTTCTCCCAAGAAGCTGCTGGTAGGCTCAAACCTCAAACCACTTAGTTTGGTTAGCAGTCGAACACTTCAGATCAAGTTTAAAGAACAGAAATGAAGCTATACTGAATGAAAGTTTCTAAGAGCAAGGTAGGCTATAATGGCATACAGGTGTTCTGCTACACCCATAGTGACTCCAGCTGCATCAAGGAGTTAGACATGTATACACTTTTATCTTTAGTTGTTTAGAAAGAAAAAAAAATCTATCTTTTCTTCCTATCATTTCGTATTTATTCGACCATACTTAAATCAGCAACCTTTTCTACAACACATTTTGAGACATGTGGTGCTGTGGGTTAGGCACTGGGCTGCTGACTACAAGGTCAG